ATGTCATTTATCTCAAGTAAATTAAATACATCCATAACTTCATTACCAAAACTCAAAGCAAGAAATTTATTCATCTTTTACTTGAATACAAGAACTTATTGTAAACTAAAGATGAAGTGATTTGTGTTGTGAGACAATAGTGAACTCAATGGTCGGTTGGTTTAGATTCGATGAATAAATTAGAAATTATTTTCTAATATATTGCTCGCGCTTTGGCCACAAATATTGTTAATTCATTTGTGTGCTATACTTGACAAAAGAAACTATAAAATGCTGTTTAAATTCATTGCTTAGCATTAATCCTATTCCTAAAGAACCTTGTATAATATAAATCATCTGATAGTAAAATACATGGTTAAATTAATATATTTTAATATTTACGGTAATAAACAAAAATATAAATTAAATTTAATCGAAAATTTTTATTTACTGTAATATTTTATTTTCAAGTAATATTTTAGATTTATAATACAGTTTCTCAATATTTGATATAAAGAATAATTAATAGTCTACTCTTAAAAGATTTTCAATCAGTTTTATGAATTAATTTATTATGCAGATCAATGACAATTACTTTATAAAGTAATTTGATCACCGTACATTGCATAGTGTAGTTTAAAAATACATAAGTTGATAAAAATTTACGGTAATTAATAAACTGGTAATTTCATTAGTCTCTCTCTCTCTCTCTCTCTCTCTCTCGTATTTTTTATTGAAAACAGTGATAATTTCAAAGATATCAAAACTATAATTTATTTCATAAGTTTATAACCATTTAAAGACATTTTAATTAATTGTTTTGGTTTAAGCTCTGATTGGTAAGTTTGAAATGNAAAACTATAATTTATTTCATAAGTTTATAACCATTTAAAGACATTTTAATTAATTGTTTTGGTTTAAGCTCTGATTGGTAAGTTTGAAATGTTTGATAAGACTTGAAGTCATAATTAAGTGGTAATTACTGCAATGGAAAATATATTGGCATTAATTTGTGGTAAATATCGATATCTATTTGAAGGAATAAGCAGAATATGACGCGTTGTGTGCGTCCAGAGGCGGGACTGGAGTCCAACCACTCCCTAACAGTGCTGAGGGCGATGTGAGCGGCGTTTTCATTGGGATATCCATACACTCCCGTAGAGATACAGGGAAAGGCTATAGACGTCAGTTGATTCTCAGCCATCAAATCCAATGCACTTCTATAGCACGACTGAAGAAGTGGTGGCTTTTCGCCTACCGGTCCCACCGTATGGATCACGTCTGGAGACACATACAAAACATTCATTACAATCACTCATTCAAACTCAAACCAAACCCACATTTTGCGGGCAATTTGTATCCTCCGGTGATTTTACTGCTTCCTGTGGGACAGCCATTCAATGTGCGGCACTCCGACTGAAGCAGATCCCGATCGGCGGCCGCGTGAATGGCGCCGTCGACTGCAAGAGTGAGACAAACAGATAACACGTTAACTACAAGTGAGTGTGAAAGCGAGTGGTTGTCCCACAGACCCCCTCCGCCTCCTTTGAGCTGCTGATTGGCTGCGTTGACGATGGCGTCCACTTCGAGGGCAGTGATGTCGCCCACGAAGACCGACACCTTGTCATTGATGTCACGGCTGAAGACAAAGTCAGACGTCGAGAACTTGTTGTGAATGCCTTTGAGTTTGGAGTACTGGTTCCACGACAGGATGTCCTCCAACTTGTGGTATCGGTCGCCACACTTGTATAGACTCCTCTTGTCCTCCAAAGGCATCTCCAGATAGCGATCTAATGGTATGAATGGGAATCAATTGATGCAAAGACCAAACCATTGAATGATTGATACTTTTGTGTTCACTAAAAGCCATTTTGTGGATATAATTGATTGGTTTGATGGCCGACAACACCATTAACGACGATAACGATGTCTCCAGAAGTGATTTCTTAGACAAAAGTTTTCTAAACATATATTGATTTCAATTTAGATTTCAAACAATCATTGAATTGAAAATAAGTGTAAGATTTGAGACAAAATGCAAACAAATTTTGTTTACATTTTTATGTCATTTTTGGTTTTCGACACAAAATACGTTTGCCTTTCAATACAAATGCAATGCATTTATCACAGACTTATCACTGGATTAGTTGCCATTCATTTGGATTTACCGTTAATTGTCTCTCGAAATCTCATAAAACCTGTAAGACTTTAGTAATTGATTAATGCATTTGTGTTATGAGTTGACAATTTGCTATTTATTTGCAGATTTCGATTCATGAACTTCTTAAACAAATAAATTTATGTTCACAATTCTGTGCAAATTCACAAATTATTATATATGTGTCAGGGAAAGTTGAAGTGAGCTCTGTACCTTTAATGGGTTATATTAGTAATAGTATTGTTATATCAAATATACAAAAATTTTAATAATAAAATTCCACTTTTTTATAACTTAATATAATTTAATCTAGTTTCATAGTGTTTATTATTGTTTACATTTATTGTTTTAAAACAATTTGCATTAAATGTTTTATTTTTTATTGTATAGTGTTTTGGATTTTCCAATAAAGGTAACTCATTAAAATTACAGAGCTCACTTCAACTTTCCCTGACACATATTTAGTTTAATAATTGAAATACTAATTTGGATTATATAAATTACGGTAATACTGAATATACTGTAGGTTAGAAAAGGTTTATAAGTTGATTATAAAAAAATTGTAATAAGTACTGTAATAACGAACTAATATTAAGTAGATTCTTGAGACAAAAGATAAAATTCTAGATAACATAACATATTCTACTAATAGCCTATTATACTGTATAGTACTGGTATATAATGTTATGAATTGAAGCCACATCAAATTAATTGAATGCCATTCCTGATAAACCATTCAATCCGGAGCTTATTATTATTCAGTAATTATTTTGAAAACACAACTCAAATTATAATTGCATTCAATGTTTGAATTGATTTAAATATGCATTCATTCATTGTTTTTAAACAAATGCCAATTCCTGTGAAAATAATTCTATAAATGTAATGAAAGCTCATTTCGTAGAAATGTTTTCTAAACCGGAATTTAATATTATAATATTATGTATGATTTTTTGATAGAACAAAATTCTGATTTTTATATAAAAAACATTTTGTAAAATCTATATAATAAGCCCACATTCAAATTTAATACAATACCTGAACATTTATACTGTGTACTGAACAGAGGTAGATCATTTTCAAACATGGCATTTGTTTTTTAGTATACTGTATAGTGCAAATGAGACAAATAAATAAATAATCAATTATTTAAAAGAAGTTTGATTTTCTTTATTAAAATCTTTACTCATTTATTACAAACTCAACAGACTTGGCAATTTACCTAGTCTCTCTCTCTCTCTCTCTCTCTCTCTCTCAAGTTTAAATCTTATTTATTATATAATTTCTTTTATATATATTGTAGAATGGTGTTAGTACAATATGTTCACAAAAGTTTATTTTATATTTAAAGAACATATGAAAATTTACAGTTTCACAATACTATTCTATTCAATAAAATTTAATTTAAGTATTGAATAATATTAACCTTAAACTTACATTAAACTGTTTTCAATTGTATCAGACAATTTTCTTAAGATTAAATTTATCACTCTTTTAAGTATAAACATTTTGTAATTAAAAATTTAATTAAGTGATTGTATGAGTTCAGATCAAAGTGAAAGACTATAATTTATTAATCAATTCCCGTAAGTTCTTTCCTACAATATAAACGTTATTTTTATTGATATTTTTTTTATTAATGTATTTTTAATCATAAAATAAATTAAAGATTAAATTCACCTATATCTCAAATCAAATATTGTCTCAAGATTAACTTTTAGACTACATTATGCAGTATAAAAAAATGTTGTATAAATCTTTGTCACGATTTTATAGGCATTTTAGTTGTAATATTGGGACAACTGTTGTATTATTTTAAAATTCTTATTTCAATGAGAATTCTCAATAAATATTTGAAAAGAGAGTCAAAATAACAAATTGAAAAGAAAATTCATTTCTAGAGAAAATCAATTGAATAGAATTTAATTTTCTAAAGTATTTTATTATTCAAATAAACACTTATATGCCATGTTTTACCTGAAATGGTAGAATTTAATTATTACTTTAATCAGTAATATAAATAGTTTAGGTTGTGTTATGTTTTGTTTAAACGTAATAAAATAAATATTACTCTATTTAAAGATGTTATCAAAAAATCAATATCCAATTACGATTACCTATATTTTTAAAATTCTTTAATGTCAAATCAAAAGTATTGACAAATACGTACAGGAATATAAGATAAAATACTTTTAAAAAACATTTTAGATTTTCTATAAAAATCAATAAATACATACCGTATATATATATATATATATATATATATAAAGTTGAGACGAAAAGATGGTTTTAATATTCAGAAAACACGAAAAATATTTGAAACGTTTAATAAATAGATGAACTGATAAATAGACACGACTTGAAAATGCAATCAAATGTTGGCTTAAGTTTGGGTGTTGATGTGTGGAGTAATGGAAATGTATGATTGATGTGAGAATATAATTGTACGGATGAATAGATACAATGCTTTGAGAATAAATCTTATAAATTATTAAACACTCAAAACCTAATATAACATTCAAAATGAATATACTACATAAAGCTATACTAGAATATACTATAGACTATAGTGAAAGCGATTTTGATTCAAATTTATTTTGTGTAAGAAATTTGATTCAATAAATATAATATCTTCAAAACGACAAAATATAATTAATTCATTTAAACAATAAATATATTTAAATTAAAAATTCAATTATTATATTTTTATTGGATTTAATAAAATTATATAATTATCTTTAGTGCTTAATAAATAAATCATATACTGTAATGTAAACAATGTTTGAATTAGAAAAATGTTAATTAATTAAATATTGTATTTGTTTTGTACAAATCATTTGATTGAATTGAATAAAGAAAATAAATAAAATAAATAAATTTACAACAAATAATGAATTAAATTAATTCTTAATAAATTTTTATTATATTTATATAAGTAAGTAACTAATAAATATTATTTTATTCGTTGTTTAAAATCAAATAAACATTTAATTATTTATGGAAATCCATTATACAAATGTAATTTTTATATCATAGATATCTAATAGAAAGTGCAATATTTTTGCTACTCACAAACCGTAATTATAGGAAGTCTAAGATATAAATATTGATTTTTTATTAATTTTTTATCATACTGTATCATCAATACTTTTATTCTTAACATTTTTAACAACAAATCCTTTTTAATTCTACACAAATATAAGTATTACAATACTATATACTGTACATAAAGTATTGTAAGTTGTTATATTTTTCATAAATGATATACTGTACACGAGAATAAAAATGAGATTAAAATATACGTAAAAATGTTATTTTTATATTAAATAGTATATAAACAAGATTGGATATTTATATAATTAATATTATACAACTGTTTATCAAGTAATAAATTAAATGAAACAGAGATTGATTATCAAGTAATTGATTTCTATTTCGAAAATTAAGAATGCTTTTTATTTATTAAATATTTATATAAATGAGCCAGTGGAAAGTATAAAGGCCTCTAAATTTATTTTTTAATGTGCCTAATATTCATACGAATATTCATAATGTGTAATGGGAAACCCCACAAATAGACTCAAGCACAAAAAAATACAAGTGTATAAAAACTTTAGAGGCCTTTATACTTTCCACTGGCTCAAATAGACAAAATCATATATTATAGTATAATATTTACAGTAAAGACATTAACCTGTTTATATTTGAACATTTTGTTTCAGACAATACTTTTTTATAATAATATTAATTATAATATTATTGTTTTATTAAATAAATCATATAGATTCCATAGATAATTAGTGTTTAAAATATATAAGAAATGTGTGTACAGTATATACTATATAAACAATACGATTTGAAATTTTCATATATTTTAATACAGTATCAGTAAATTAAACTTTAAAAAACTTATCGGCATATTATTAAATCAGTAATTTAAAATAATAAATGTCATTTGATTTAAACAAAATATAATAAATTATTAAAATTATTGAATCAATTTTTAAATGTTATGCCTCCATAATCTTACTTCAGTACAATACACAAAAAAATATAATTAAAAATACAGGTATTACATAGGTTAATAAAACATTATTATCTACTCTATAAGCTATTATTCAAAGATAAACAATGACAATTTTAACATATTTAAATTAATAATTATATTAAAACTCAATATTTTAGCTATTAGTAATTATTGTGATAATTTAATATATGAAAATTCAAATTATCTCGAACATTGATTTATTCAAAATAGTATTTGTTAATATTAAAATCTATTAAATTCATTAATATTTAATACAAACTACAATTTATTTATGAATATAAATAAATGATGATACCGTACAAACTCTTGAGAATGTGTTGTTTATGATCTTAAATTGTATTAAATCGATGGCTTAGTGTTAGGCGAAGATAAATGAGTATTACATGACATGGAGTTTATTCTCATACTTAATCTCCAATCAATGCATTCTTTTCTCTCCAATAGATTATAATAAACTCTACACTCAAATCACATTAATTTTTGACAAAAATCAATAAAAGTTCATAGGATTGTAACGTTTAAAAATATATATTATTTTTCAATTTTCAAAATATGTTCTAAATGTTATAAGTTACATTTAAATAAAGATTTAATGACATGTAAAATATTTTCGTTTATACGTAACTAATCATTTTATTTTGCATGGATTCAAAACATATAACTTGTACAGAACATATTCAAAATGAATATATTAGTATAATACTTATCAGAATATTTTATACTTATAATCTTTATGATAAAGTTTAAA